TTTTTGTTAGTAATCCTTTGATAACCTTGTCTATTTCTTCTATTGGTATTGGCCTTTTGAGATTCTTGACATCCATCGGTAATAGTCTCAGGAGGAATTGTTTTTCAAGAATTTATCCATGTCTTCCAAGTTGTTGAATTCATTGGAGTATAATCCTTCGTAGTAATGTGTCATTATCCTTTTGATTTCATTAGCATCTGTTGTAATTTCCCCTCTTTGATCTTTCATCCTTGCTATTGAGATTTGTTCCCTCCATTCTTTGGTTAGGTATGCCTGTGCTCTGTTGATTCTGTTTATCTTTTCAAAGAACCAACTTTTAGCAGCATTACTTTTCCCCACAGTTTTCTTATTTTCCTTCTCCTGAATCTCTGCCCTGATTTTTATTATTTCTTTTCCTTTGATATTAGTAGGATTGACCTGCTGACTCTGCTCTAGTTGTAAATTTTGTGCCAGCATATCAATCATAAGTCTCTCTTCCTTTTTCAGGTGTGCCTGTATTGCTATGAAATTTCCTGTGATAATTGCCTGTGCCAGGTCCCATAAATTTTGGTACATCGTGATCTCATTCTTGTCGGTTTCTAGAAATTTCCCAATTTCATCTCTGATCTGTGCCAGTATATACTCCTTTTGCAATAGAGTGTTATTCATCCTCCAATTGTTTGCTCTTGTTTTATCTTCCGTTTGGTGCTTTCCAGTCTTATTTCACAGTGGTCAGAGAGAGAGTTCTGTATGATAACACTGTTTTAAAATTCATGGAGATTTGCCTTATGCTCCAGCATGTAGTCTATCTTCAAATATGTGCCTTGTGGGCTCGGAAAGAATGAGAATTTTATTTTAAATTTGGATGAAAAGCTCTGTAGATATCTATCAGGTCACATTGTATGATCGTAGTGTTTAGATCTCTAGACTCTTTGTTGACTTTCGTTCTCTGTGATCTATCTTCTTCAGAGAGCGGTGTTTAGAAGTCACCTACGATAATTGTTGAGGCTGAGAACTCTTTTTTCATTTTTTGGAGTGTTTGGTTGATGTATTCAGCAGGCCTCTCGTTCGGAAAATAAATGTTTAAAATTCTTCATTATTCTTTTTCTAGCTTTCCCTTGAGCATTTTATAATGTCCCTCCTCATTTTTAAAAGTTTGGAGTTTGAGGTCAATTTTATCTGACATTAGGATTGCAACCCCTGATTTTTTTTCAATTGCTGTTTGCTTGGATGCCTTTCTCCAGCCTTTTATTCTTAGCTCACTTTTGTCTGTAGTCTTGAGATGTGTCTCCTGTAGGCAGCAGATATTTTGGTTGTTTTCTAAGCCAGTCTGCTAGCCTCAGTCTTTAAATGTCTGAATTCAATCAATTGATATTCAGGGTTATTATCTCCTTCTGTGGACTCTGTGAGGTCATCTTATATCTTTTGTGTTGGTTTTTTTTCTAACTCCCTTTCTTATCAGTAGGGTGTGTGTGTGTGTGTGTGTGTGTGTGTGTGTGTGTGTGTGTACTATACTTGACTTCTTTCCATCCTTAAGCCAATGTTATATTGGGGGTCTTTTGTCTTTGTTGCCCTCTGGGTGGGGTTGTTTTCTGTAGTGGTCTCTTATTTATGCTTGATGAGTGTTGTTCTCTTCTGCCCACACTGGTTTGGCAATGATCCTTTGTAGGGCTGGGTTTCCTCCAATGTATTCTTTGAGTTTTTCCTTTTCTGGGCAGACTCTTACTTCTCCATCTATCTTGACTGATAATTTGGCTGGGTAGAGTATTCTTGTTTTTGCGTTATTTTCCTTCAATTTTTGGAATATGTTACTCCACTCTCTCCTCTTCTTCATAGTTTCTGCTGATTAATGTGAGCACATTCTTATTTGGGAACCTTTATATGTGATTGCTTGCTTTTCCCTAGATGCTCTCATGATTTTTTTTCCATTTCCTCAAAGTTACGTAGTTTAAGTCTTATGTACCTTGGTGACTTCTTGTTGGGATTCCGTCTAGCTGGTGTTCTTTCAGCTTTCTGGATGGTTGCCTGGTTTTCATTTATTAAGCTGGGGAAGTTTTCCTCCAAGTATTCTCTCACTATTGTTGCAGATGAATTCTTTGTTGTCCATCAGTGATCCAATTATTCTGATGTTCTTCTTCATAGCATCAGACAATGCTCTTAGGCTTTCTTCAGCTTCTCTGATAATATTAGATTTTTGCTCACGTTTGTTAAAGTCTGCCTGGCTGTCCTCTAGGTCGTTGGTGCTGTTCTCTGACTCCTCAAGTCAATTGGCGAAGTCCGTGAGTCTGCTTCTGGTTTTTGTTATCTCCTCCTTAAGCTCTTGTATTTCCCTTTGGTGTTTGGACTTTATCTCCTCTATCATTTCATCTTTTTTTCTGTATTGCTTCCCTTATAACCTGTATGACTCCAAGCAGCATTCTGAAAATGTCTTTCTGTAGAAGATCAATGTCTGCTTCTTCTATGCACATCATTATGTTCAGGACATCTGCCATTGCCTTTGTTTCTCCTGGTGTTTTTGTTGTTGTTGTTGTTGAGGTCGTTGGGCTGATTGCTATTTGCATTGCATTGTTTTAGAGGAGCCAGGTGCCATTTTTCTGGGAAAGAGCACTGGATTTCTCTGGGAGATTCATAGGAATGCTTATTTGAACTGCCTGCAACTAATTTCACCATTTAATTGGCCTACCACTTTATCCTTCTGTGGCTTCACTCTTTACCTAGTCAACCAGTATTCTGTTATTTGGAGGGTAAGTTGGATGAACCTTTCAGGGGATGCTCATTGGGTTTTTGTGGACCAACAAGGATGGTGGTGGATTGAGTGATCTCACAAGAAGCTGTGATGGTGTGGCCCATGGCAGCTTGGTGTGCCACCGTGGGCATTCAGGGCTTCCCACTAAACCGTCAGTGTCACAGAAGGCTGGTGGGTTACCTGCTTTGTTGTAGAGCACTGTTATTGGTGGGCGGAATTTTCCTGGTCAGGTAGATAGCTGAGGAAGTTGGGCAGAGGTTCCCACAGCAGATTGGGACATTGGTGAGTGTTGGCTGATCTGCCTTAGGCTATGTGAGGAATTATGGCAGGCAAACAGGAGGAATTTCCCTCAGTCATGTGGGACAACAGAAATTGATAGGAGATCCCAGACAGGATTGCCCCTTAAGTGTTAAGCGCTGTGGAGGGAGGACGGGAGGAATTTCCCTAGGAAGAATTTGGGCTGGATATTCTGTGGTGGAGGGTGGGTGGACTTTCATCCACCTCTTGTGACACTGCAGAGGGTGAAGCGCTCCCAGCTGGGTGGAAAGCAGGTGTAAAGGATAGTGGTCTGTAGGTCAGCAGTGGTGTGTGAGAGAAAGGGGAATATAAAAGGGAAAAAAGAAAAAGAAAAAGAAATACTAAGCCAGCTGAGTCTGGGGCGGGGGTGGGGTGGGAGGGGTGGACAGAGATAAGTGAGGGAAACAAAAGTAATAAGGTAGCTGAGCCCTGATGGGGCTGCAAGGGCTTAATCCCTGTCCTGAGGCGGTACAAAGCTATGGCTGTGTTGAGTTAATGCACCTGTGCCAGCCCCAAATGATGCCAGCTCTGGTCAAGGCAGTGGCGGGGCTAGGGTCAAACCCTAGCCAGCCTCCACTGTGGTAAGCCAAAAGCTGCAGCCTCTCAAAACCTACTGTGTCTGTGCCTACTTATCATTATGATGCTCCTCCTGCAGCCTGGCAGTGTGGAATTTCCTTCTCAGTAACTCTTCTGGGATGATTTCTGTGGAGTCCTTCTGATTTGTGTTACTCAGTCACCATCCTCCCAGAAGTCTCAGGTTTTTTTTCGTTTGGCAATCTGTGGTACTTTCTATATTCTTTGCCAGCACCATAACTCAAAGGCATCAATTCTTCTTTGGTTTCCTTATTGAATGTCCAACTCTCACATGTCTGTGAGCTGATGGAAATTACCAATTTTGGGGTCAGGCAAACTTCAGTCCTCACAGTGACATCCTCACTTTTCGACACAGAGGACTTGTGCTGCAGTTTTATCCAGTACAATGGGTTCTTTGATCTCTTGATTGCTGCTCCCAAGAGCAGTGATTGTGGTTCCAAGGAAGGTGAAACCCTCCATATTTTTTCCCTTTATCCTGATGTTGGCCCAGTTGTGAGGATTTTTGTTTTCTTTATAGTTAGCTTAATCCACATTGAAGTCTGCAATCTCTGATCTTCACCAGAAAGTGCTTCAAGTACTCCTCACTTTCAGCAAGCATGGTGTGTCATCTGCATTTCAAAGGTTGTTAATAAACTTTGCTTGAATCTGGGTGCTGAGCTCTTCTTCATATAGTCTAACTTCTCTGATTCTTCGCTCAGCATAGAGATTGAGTAAGTATGGTGAGAGCTGGAAACCCCAACATGCAGCTATCCTGATTTTAAACCATGTGGTGTTCTCTTGTTCTGTTCACACGGCTGTCTCTTGAAACATCTACAGGTTCTGCAAGAACCCAATGAAGTGCTCTGGAATTCCCATTGTTCTCAAGACTATCCAGAGTTTGTTATGATCCACAGAGTTGAATGCCTTTGCATAGTTGTGCTATGAATTCGGGACCTGAATGTGTCCTGACATCGTCTTTGATGAGAAAAACTTGAGATTAGGGAACAGGAACCCAGTGTAATAGACATGGAACAACCAGACTTCAGAAAATGAGAGAAAATCAACTAATACCACACCATAATTTGTATAGAAACTTTCAAAGGGAAATATAATTTACTATGTTAATTGCTACCAAATATATAACAACATTTTAAATACGTTATGGTAAGTGATTATGTAACATTTCTTGAAGTATTAAGTAGCATCCCACACTTGCATTTTTAGAAAAAGGAATTGATTCTTATAAAATACATGAGGATACCTTCAAAAATATATTAACCAAGCTGCTTATTGACATATTATTTATTAGCATATAAATAATAGGGAATTGACAACACATAGGAAATTGTGTTTTCAAAATCTGTCAGTTTCAATTTCCAAAGATGAATACACAGATGAACAACTGCTACATTTTAGAAACTAGTGAAAAAGATTTTTGTTGCACAGAAAAACAATTCATGGCAATCATTTTTGTTAGGGCCCCTTTAATGTCCTTGTTTCTTAGGCTGTAGATGAAAGGGTTCAGCATGGGGGTCATCACTGTGTACATCACAGCAGCTACAATGTCATTCTTAGCTGAGTTGGAGGATGAAGGTTTGAAATACACAGCAATGATGGTGCCATAGAAGAGGGACACTGCAGCCAGGTGGGAGCCACAGGTGGAGAAGGCTTTCCACTTTCCCTTTGTGGATGGGACTCTCAGGACAGCAGAGGTGATGGAAATGTAGGAAACTAGGATGCAAACCAATGGTATCATCATGATCAGACCCCCCTCAGTAAGAATCATCATCTCATTGAGGTGTGTGTCAGAGTAGGAGAGTCTCAGGAGAGCAGTCATTTCACAGAAGAAGTGAGGGATAGTGTTGTCTGCATGGAATGAGAGTCGAGCCATCAGCAGGGTATGCAACAGAGCATTCAGAATGGCAATCACCCAAGAGCCAGTGACCAGCAGGGCACAGAACTGATGAGTCATCTTTGTTGTATAGTGCAAGGGGTGGCATACAGCAACAAAGCGGTCATAGGCCATCACAGCCAAGAGGAAATTTTCCATGTCACCAAACACATTGAAAAAATATATCTGCATGAGACATTCAGGGAAAGACATGGTCTCACTGCTGAGTGTGTTAGTCAGCATATTGGGGACTATGGTGGAGGAGAAGCAGAGGTCCACAAAGGACAGGCTACAGAGGAAGAAGTACATGGGGGTGTGCAGGCGGAAGTCTTTGCTGATGGCCAGGATGATGAGCAGGTTGCCCAGGACTGTGGTCAGGTACATGCTCAGAAAGAGAATGAAGAGGAATTTCTTTTGCTGTTGTGGATGCCTGGAGAGCCCCAGGAGGAGAAACTCAGAGACACTCGACTGATTTGGCTCACTCATTGCCACTGAATCAGGCTCATGCACAAGAGCAAATTCAGAGACCTAGATATGGATGGGTAAAAGGTAGCAAATTAAACCTCAATTTAAGATGTTTGCAACTCAGTTCATTGATTTACTAGGAGATCTGTCCACTTGACCTACACTCTTAATTTCCTGTATTCAGTCCTGATTCAACTCATATTGAACTCCTGAACATTTGTGTGGTATATTTATAACTGGCAAATACACACAAGTCAACTTTGTGACTATATGTGTCTATTCTTACATTTTTTTCAGATCTCAACCCCACTCATTTTTAGGCAAGAAAAGAGAAACATCTGGATACAGCTGGTCATCTCTCAAGTTCTTTGATTTAGGAGTTCCCTTGGTCACTTGTTGTTGAAAATTTATCCAAAGGTATTCTTAAAAGAATTTCTAGTCTTATGAACAAGCAATCAAACAATCAAAATCAACAAGCAATTTCTCTTTTGCTTAAACACTACCTGTTGGAGGTTGGTGGTATAGGTGTTATGTATTCATCATCTCTGCATAACTGGACAATATTTCTCTTTATACTAAAGATTGGAAAGTCTTGGAAATACAAGAGTAAGTGAGGAGCAGGCATTCATGGTCTTAGTCCTCTGTGCATGAAAAATGTCTGAGGGAATCACAGAGAGGTATTTACAGGCGACTCTATGGCTGTTGGAGCCAGAATCCCTGAGAGCCTCATTACAGACAAAAAGAGAGTAAGTGCCACACCTTTTGTTCCCTTTGGGTCATAGTAATGACAGAGACTATTATCTAACTCCTGGGTCAAAACTTAGAGAAAAAACCATCTTGGAGGAGACACATCCCAAACAGATTCCCCCGGGAACTCAAATCTTATCAATTTTGTGACTTAAGCTTAAATCTATGGGTTTGGAAATTCAGTGAATCAGTTATTAAAGTATTTTTATTCATTCTCTTTTAGCTTAGGAACTTGACTATATGCAGTGTAGTCTACATAAATACACGCCCTCCACATTTTTGTTCATTTACTAGACTGAGTGATGTCTTTACCAATGGGGATAATGGATTATAGAATTATTTTTAACCATTTGAAACATTTGGTATAGAATAGTAGGGTCTGTTTTTAATGGAGTGATGAAGGGGAGATATCTTGAAGCACAGTGCATACTGCAATTGAGGAACTCCACACCGTGTGACTAGATTATTCTTGAGATATCTTTTCAATCCAAAAGTGCCCCTTTATATATAGATTTACAACATTTCCCCCCTTTCTTTTCAAGCCTTATAGTCTCATGCTAGAAGAGCTATAGAATGCATGCAAGTACAAAGAAGGCTGCACAGGGCACATTGGAACCTTAATGGAAGCAATTCTATAGAGATGAATGGAGAAAAGTAAAGACTGGATTTTGAAAAACAACAACCAGTAAAGGAAGGTTAGTGCGAAGTCAATGGCTTGTAAAAATATTACAGGCAGATGGAAGTATGGATGGCCTTGTCTATTGGGGGAAAACAATCAGGTTTGCCTGAAGGATGAGGGTGAGGACTAGAGCAGTGGGAGAGAGGCAGCAGAGGATGGGATTGTTGTAAATAGGGTCAAGTTCCAAGTCTCGGGTTCACTTGTAGTCATTAGATTGGATGTAATTGTCGTGGAGTACTAGAATGAGAATAAGAAGTCCAAGGATATAACTCCAGAGAACCAAAAAGATATATGCACAGGAGGATAATGGAAAAAGAGGAGGTGAAAAAATTTGAGGGTAAATAAAAATGTATTGCCACAGTAGGATAGAAAATTTTATTAAACAAAACTATCAGCATATGAAGTTGTCAACATGTACCCCATTTAGATGTGTACACATATGAAGATGGTGTATTCATCTCTTTAACCCTTCTCCAAACTATTCTGCATTATTGAATTTGTGCTGTGCCATCACATCAGTTTGGCATCATCAGGGGGGACAAACTGTCTTCTTTTCAGCAGTCCTTGAGTTTTGAGAACACAAAGAAGTCTAAAGGAGCAAGATCAGGACAGTGGGGTTGACAGGGTAAGGGTCACAAAGAAATTGTTGCAGGACAGCCCTTGATACCTTTGAAAAATGAGCATGTGTATTGTTGTGTTGGGAAAAAAATTCTTCAGGTTAGCTTTTCTAGCCCTTTTATTGCCTACACAGTTTTCAATTTTTAAAAAAAAACTTCAAGACTTCTGTTAAGATGCCAGACTAGGTAGTTATACTACACAGAACCTTTATAACAAGGACATGAGAGACCAAATTAAACAGATGCTATTACAAATTTATAAATGTGGGGGGAGAGGAGAGTAAATAATGTAATTATAGATCTAAGAGGGCAGGAAGTCGAGTTATACCCAAGAAAGGCCAGATAGCTTTAAATTTGGAAGTAAGATAATAGAACACAAGGTAACTGCAAAGAAAACAAGTAAATCTTATTAAAATAAAAAGAGAAAAGCCATAAAGATTTAGTAAGCATTAAAATACTTCAATGAATAAAATAATAAAAATCACAAACAAAATTAACTTAATACAGATAATTATATGACTAAAGAATCCAGGAGCACCACACACACACACAATACACAGAAAAATGACAGCGGTAAATTTCTATGTATTGTTAATTACACTGAGTGGAAATGGGTTAAATGCACCTGTTAAGACATAGAGAGGATGAACAGGAAAAGAGGACCCATCAGTATGCTGTCTACAACAGACACACCATAGACACAAAAACAAAAGTAGACTAAAAAGCAAAGAATAAAAATGACCCATGGCTGACTTTCTTAGTGATTATTATTGCCCTGTGATTAAAGTAAATGGTAAATTACAACAACCCAATCCTAACCAGACTTATAATGACCCAGACCCCTCAGGAATGAAGGTCTGGGTCACCCCATCAGGCATAAAACCAGCTGAGGTGCTTGCTGAGGGCAAAGGTAATACAGAATGGGTAGTAGAAGAAGGTAGTTCTACCTATCAATTACGACCACGTGATCAATTGCAAAAGCGAGGTTTGTAATTGTCAATGTATTTTCTTTTTGTGTGCTTATTGCATATCTTTCCTTTATTCAGGTATGATATATCAGATACAATTGGACTTAGTGTGTTTTCATTTATATGTATGACAGATGATTGATGATGAGTATAAGTGTGATTTCATCAATGTCCAGAAATTATATAAGTATATATCGCTAAAGAATTGTGTACAGGTGCCAGGTTGGTAAGGGGTGGATTGAGATAGTTTATTGTGCCAGCCTGCCGATAAACACAAGTGGGATTAATTGAAGGGCAGAGAGATAAATGGCTCGGTGAGCCTCTCTTTTCTTGTCTCTCACTCTTTGATCATCGGGCCAGTGTACAGCTGCCTTGCTTGTTCTGTGCCTCAATTTACAGGCTATACTAACTGTGGGACGCCCAGCATGTGGACAGTGTCGCTGAAGACTGAGGTCCCTTTAAGACCACACGATTGAAATTTACATCTTTTGAGCTGGGGACTGACAGTTAGTGACCTGGCTGACAGTTGGTGACCTGCCTTGCTGTTTTGCTGCATGTGCTGGGATAGCCTAGCTCTCTCTACAGAGGACTAC